GACCGAAATGCAGGTAATGATTGCCTCAAGCACAACCGTGTGACCACATTCGCGTAGGGAAATTTGGGGAGCCTAAACGACGGATAGGGCAACACATCTAGGCAGGCTAAGAGCGCGACCTTGAATATGCGGTGGGCCCTCACAGCTAACGTGTTCATAACTTAAACCTACACAAGAGCCGTTCGTATCAACGGGGCATGGCTTTGAGTCCAATACACACACACACACACACACACACACACACACACAAACAAACAAACAAACAAACAAACAAACAAACACACACACATAAAGAACACGTGAGATGCAACGCAAATGAGCAGAAACAACAATCGTAAACACACACACACACACACACAAACAAACAAACAAACAAAAACACACACCGTGGCTTTGGACATAAGGACAACGCTCTCTGGCGTGAGGATGCCGTGCTCAGACTCGTCACGCATGATGTTCCGGATGCGCGCAACTGGCAGGGCAGACGGCAGGTCTTTGTTTGGCTGTCGTGCATGATGCACACATGAATGTACAAGCAGGGGCGCACATGTGTGTATGCATGCCGGGACACGCAAGAAGGAGCAGGGTATTAGCGTGCATGCTGGGCGTTCATCGTTCAACGAGGCGGGACGCATAACGCCGCAGCTGACACGCACACGCACACGCACATGCACACGCACACGCACACGCACACGCACACGCACATGCACACGCACACGCACACGCACACGTACACGCACACGCACACACATTCACGCACTCACCTTGCGCCCGCGTTTTGCCTTCTTAGGTGCTGGGTTCCCGTTCTCCGCCGTGTCACCCGCGGATTCGTTTTGCTTCGCCGGGTTTCCAGAATCACTGCGCGAAGTAGATGCTGGTGCTTCCGCCGAGCTGCACACACACAAACACCCCCCCCCCCAACAATTGCCAGCGCTGTGAGCAAACACAAGCACACACTGGCACACACTACATTCCATACAAACACGCATGTGTAAGCGACAGCTGGGCGCAACACACCTGGTGCTGCCAAACACGGATGTGAAGATGTTGTTGCCGCTGGCGTCTTGTGGTGCTGGTTTCAATTTTGTCTTCGCCGCCACAGGCGCCGCTGACACCTCGTCTGCTGCACTGTCGACGACCTTCGCCGGCAATCGCATCTGCTCTTGCAGCGCGGGCGCGCTGCCACTGCCATCTCCCATCATACGCGCGTCTGCGCTTGGCGATGCAGTAACCACAAGAGGCGTGTGCGCGCCGCGAAGAACGGCAGTGCATGTGAGCAGGAGACACAGTGAGCGGCGGGAAGCACAACCACGCACTACCAAACCAAAGGGCGCATCCACACGTCAACACAAAGCAACAGCGCAACCAAAGCCTGCTCAACCAACACCCGCCGCCAACATCAACTTCAACAACACACCAGCCCAAAGAAGCAAGGCCGTTGTCGCACACCACCACCACCTGCTGCTGTTGTTGTCGGTGGCGCCAACCACAGATATTTGCGATTCACGAATGATTTCCAGTTATTTTCGGCACCAATCTGGCTCGCTGGCGCTGCCTTGTCCCTGCTGTGTGGCTTGAGGCGTTGTGGCTGGGTGAGCCGTGTTGTGTTGTTGGACGACAACGTGGGAGGCAAATAAGGGGAGCCAGGAGCCGATAGAGAGGCACGGTGGAAGCCTTTGATGCTGGTAATACAAGCACACACGCACAGCAATGTCGAGTGGCCTCTCTGCGTGGTTTGAGAAGAAGGGGGCAGTCAACCCGTCCTGGAAGAAAAGGTGAGCACGCTCTTCGTTCGTGCATGCATACGAACGCGGTTGCTGTTGCATCGCATCCGCTGCGCTGTCACTCTCTATCAATGCTCGTGATGTTGGTGCTCCTTCTTTGTCACAGGGTCTTCCTTCCTCCTCTTCTTCTCCTCTCCTCCTCTCCTCAACACCATAACGCCCGCGTGCTTGTCACTTTGCTTGTGAATGTTTTGGTTGTGTGGCTGTTCGTTGTCTGCAATCCCAGGTGGTTTGACTTGAAGGGCAACTGCATCGAGTATCGCAAGTCGCCCAGCGATGCACTTCCACGCGGCGTAATCAACCTGTCCAATGCAAGACTGGAACCACTCGCCCCAGAGGTGTGTGTCTGTGTCTGTGCCTGTGCCTGTGTTTCTGTCTGCACATGTGTGCGCGTTGTGCGTGTGTTTCTGTCTGTATGTGTGCATGTGACGTGTTTATCATATTGAAGTTTGCTTTGCGTGCGCGCCTGGATCCATTTTGTCCCGTCATGCTTGCCATCCTCCAAACTGAATCGGGTTGGCACCCATCCCTGTACCTCGGCCACGGTGACAGGACAACAACTGGCAGGATCGCCTTGCCATTCACACAGCCGGCGGACGCACATACATGATCAGAGCCAAGCTTGCCTTGCTCAAGGAGTGGATCCCAGCGATTCAAGATCGCATCAACGCCATCAGCAGCCGCAACGATGAGGCACCCGTACCGCGTGCCACTGCATCTTCCAGCATATCAGGTATATGAGCTCTGCTCGTTCTTGTGTGTGTGTGTGTGTGCGTGTGTGTGTGTGTGTGTGTGTGTGTGTGTGTGTGTGCGTGTGTGTGCGTGCGCGATTGTGTCTGTGTACGTATGTGTGTTTGCGTGTGTTTGTGTGTGTTTGTGCGTGCGCGTAACGCGTACGTACGTGTCTGTGTGTGTGCACGCATCTGCCTCTATCTGTGTCGCTCGGTGTCGTGTCACTGCGTGTGCTCGCCTCACCAACATTACCTTCCCCCCACATCATCGAACACTACCCCCCCCCCGGCCGTGCAGAGGTGAGCAAGCTGTCGCTTGAGGAGGCGCGGGAAGTTGCATCCAATCTGCGCCCACCAGCCCTGCTCGACGGCTTTATGGAGAAGAAGGGCGAACAGCGGTCAGTAGCCTGTGTCTGTTGAGTCTGTGTTGTGTGTCTGTGAGTCTGTGTGTGTGTCTGTCGGCGTGTTTGTGTTTTTGATGTGTCTGTGCCTGTGTGCGTGTGTGTATGTGTGTGCATATATGTGTGTGTGTCTTGTCTACCTTCTGTGTCTGTGTCTGCATGTTGTGTCACACACGCGCGCGCGCTTTCTCGCTGCCTCTGTCGTGCTGCCCCTGTGTACATGTGTACACGTACGCACACATTTGGCCGCTGTGCTTCCCCGCATCACGATCCAACCCCTCAATCTTCACTACGAAGATGATGTGCAGTGGCGCTGTGTGACATTATGGCTCATGCCACTGTACCCCCTGCTCGTAAATGTTGACGTGTGGCAGGAAAAACTGGAAGGTGCGGTGGTTTGAGCTGCGTGAATCTCGCCTCGACTACTTCAAACACCCGGCAGACAGCGCCCCAAAAGGTGAGGCACGCGTGCGAAGGAGGCCGTGAGTTGTGCCGGTGATAGTGATGGCGATGTTTGTGGTGGATGTGTCTCTGCTGACCCCACTCTGCTCTCTTCTGCGACAAGAATCAAACACACACACACACACATACCCACGACACACATACACATACACACGTCATACACGACACACAGGGTCGATTATGCTTCGTGACAGCGCAGTTGCTGTCAACACAGACACAAGCGAAAGCACCAGCACTGCGCAGGGCCTCGTCTTCCTCGAAATCTCCCCCGTCTCATCCTCACGCACATACAGGTTCGTGTGTGTGTGTGTGTGCGTGTGTGTTTGTGTTTGTTTGTTTGTGTGCCTGTGTGTTTGTGTGCTTGTGTGTGCCTGTGTGTTTGTATCTGTATCCGTGCCTGTGTGTGTGTGTGTGTGTGTGTGTGTGTGTGTATGGACCCCTTCCCATTGTACCATTGCATGAGCTGACAACTGCACACACACACACACACACACACACACACACACACACACACACACACACACACACACACACAAACGAACGAACAACCAAACAACCAAACACCCGCCCGTGTGCAGGCTGCGTGGTCCGCGTGCTGTGATGGAACAGTGGGAGAAGGAGCTTCGCCGCTGCATCAGCGCCCTCAAGCACCGCAAGTCCAAGTATCGCGCCGGTCCCATGATCCAGGACGGCGTGGGCCTGTCTGCTGATGAACTGCGCGCACCGGAAGCAGCGTCCTCCGCGTCGTCTGCAGCGCAAAGGGGCGGGGCACGGCGAGCACCGGGCCCGCTGATTGCAGACGGCAAGGTTGTGGATCTCCCTGATGGTGGGCAGACTCGGCAGGTGCAGGTGGTGGCAGACGACAGGACGCACATGATTCGGGAGCGCGAGGCTGCCGTGAAGGACATGCACGAGACAATGCAGACAGTCAACTCCATGATGCAGGACATGGCTGCGCTGGTCAGTGATCAGGGCGACCAGCTTGATGCAATTGAGCAGAGCGCAAACGCCATGGGGGATTACGTGGATGCCGGTGTGGGCGAGCTCAGAGAGGCACTCAGACGCACGTGACGCCCTGCGAACTATTACGCGCATCGGCATGTATGGATGGCTGCATTGCGCCTGTACCTGCATGAGCATCTGGCGCTATCGTCTCCCTGTTGCTTCCCCCCCCCCTTCCTTCTCTTTCTCTGCCTTATCCTCTGTGTCTGCGCTTCGCTGTTGTGGCGCCTGCCCGTGCCGGTGCTGCTACCTGCTCTGCTTCCCTTCTGCCACGTCACGTTGACGCCTGTTGCTCCACTCTCTGCTCTGTTGTGTTTGTGTGCTTCGTAGAGGGCGCACCTTGTGGATCGTTTGCCCTGTGCTTGTACACCCTGTTCCTTTTATAGCACTGGCGCCCTTTGCATTGACCGCTACACTTTGTTCCATTGACGCCCCTGTCTTGTTTCGGATCATTTGGACGGCGGGCGTTGGCCGAGCACTTCTACTACTCTGCGCTTGCGTGTGTGTGTGTGTGTGTGTGTGTGTGTGTGTGTGTGTGTGTGTGTGTGTGTGTGTGTGTGTGTGTGTGTGTGTGTGTGTGTGCGTGTGTGTGCGTGTGTGTGTTTGGCAACAGTCACCTTTCTCCGAATGAAGCTGTTTCACGACGTCGTAGCGCATCGAACGCGGTCAGGCAATACAAAGCCCGAGTCTTTCCGTCTGTGACATGTACGTTCTGCTGCTGTTGGTTTTATTGACAAAGTTAAAGCTGGGGCGCGCTTGCTTCGACTCAACACACACATGCAGAAGCACATGCATGTGCATCGGCGACAAGCACTATAAATCAACCACAAGAGAACAACCAAGCTGCATGCAAGCAGCACACAAACAAGCGTGTCCTCAAGTGGCATGAAACACGAGACAAAAAAAAAAACAAAGGAAAGAGGCACAACCAGCAGCACGGCTCTTGTCTGCAGGTGCTCGCTCATCATACCACCATGCGCCTGCGGCTGTGTCAGCGCACTCAACAGAATGTGGCGGTGAACTCAAGCGGCGAGCAGCAGCAGCACAGGTATGAGTGGCGGAGCAACAGCCACAGACAGAGCGAAAGGAAGGAGGGGAAAGGGGACACGGGGGAATAGCACGAGACTTTCTGATGCAAAGGACTGGCCTTGAGTGCAGTGCCAAGCGAGTACAACAAAGAGCAGAGCCCACGATGCGTTGACTCTTCCGCTCATGTGCTTTCACATGCCGACACAAAGAAAGACATAGAGGGGGGGGGGACGGGAGGATGGGGGAGAGACAGGGGAGGTGGAGAGATGGAGGGATTCACAAGAGTGTGCGAGGGGAAGAGAAGAAGAGAGTGAGACTTGGGAGATGTACACGAAGAGTGCGCAAGGGTGAGAGAGAGGGGAGATGGAGAGATGCACAAGAGTGTGCGCAAGGGGCGGGAGAAAGAGAAGGGGGGATTGGGAGGTGCACACGAAGAGTGCACACTCAAAACAAGAGATGAGGAGTGCACAGGCGTCAAGGAAAACGACGAGCACAACCCCAAAAGAGCGAAGATCCTAGGATCGTGGCTCGACCTCAATGAGCAGGGGCACGGCGATGGTAAGTGCGCAATGTGTTTGCCATGTGGGCGCAATGCCAGTTGTAGAGAACTTGGATGGTGTCAAAATCAATTCCAACGGACCGCATCTCGTCACATGCAAGGATCCAGACGTGGGACGCGAGGGGGAAAGCCGGGTGGTCACGCACGCAGTCCACGTTCAGCAGATTAAGATATCTGCACTGGAAGACGGCGTAGGAGTCAGTAGGATGCTGCGCGCTGACGGTGCGCAGGAACAGGGAACCTTTCACATCAAAGAGAGGGGCAAGGGTGATGACGTCCACATTTTCCAGGATGACGTCGTGGGCGTGCGCGAGGGGCTGCAGGTCGATGACGGTGTTGTCAAGGTCTTTGATGTGCACCTGTTGCACATTCTCAAGCGCTGGGATGGCAAACTGGACGGGTCCACGGCCGGCGTTGTTCGCCCTTGGGCCTTGTTGGGCGGTGTTGGGTGCGATGACAACGGTGTCGACAAAGCGGATGGTGCCCTCAATGTGCCTCTGGTCGTGGGACACGTGCCAGTGGATGTGCTCGATGTTCTCAAAATCGACGGCGTCGATGCTCGCCTGGGCGTGAATGACGAGGTTGGTGATGTTGCGGAGTCGGAGTCGCGGCATGGGCTCGGTCACCAGCACCACCAGCTCATTGCACAGGGGGTAGCCAAGGGCCCTGTGGAGGCGAGAGAAGTCGTCGAGTTCTCTTGGCAGGGCCAGTACCCCCAGCCTGAAATCGCGCGTCTGCAGTGACATCAGCTCGAGAGGCTGCGCCTCGTCTTCTTCCAGGGGACGCTCCTGCAGCAAGGGACGGCGTGCGGGCATGAGCATGTCGTCGTCGTCGTCAGGGATATGCTGACCAGGAGCGTCAAAGGGCCGCTGCATCAGGGCTGTGGCGTCTGCGAAGGCTTGCATCTGGCGCAAGTTGGTGAAGTAGACGCAGCCGAAGTAGCGCACGAAGAGCCGGAACGCCCGGTCCTCCATGCGGAGGAACCGCGTGCTGCTGGCCCAGGAAACGCCAGCGAAGGACCACGCAAAAAAGCGGGCGACAGTCAGCTCACGCCCAACGAGGCCGTCGTCCATCCAGTCGTCGACAGGCACTGGCAGGAGATGCGCAAGGAAGTTCCGTGGCATAAACCGCATGTCGAGGTGAAACGTGTGGGCCGAGATGTACGATAGCTTGATAATGTCAAAGGCAATGGTGAGCCTTTCATGGCGCCTCAGCTGGCCGAAACGATGGGCCCACAAGTCGTGCATTCGGCGTGTCTCATGGATACGCTCCATGTGCATGTACAGCAGCTTCTTCACAATGACTTCCCAGACAGCAACGTTGAAAGATGGAAGGGGCATTTGCTCGTCGTCTGTTGGTGGGAGTGCATGACGTACCAGGGCAAGCCAGTGTATAAGTGAGAGAGACAGAGGGTAGGCAAGGCTGAGCTGGGTGGGTGGAACATGGGTGTGTCGTGTGCAAAATGGGGAGAGAGTGTGTGTGTGTGTGTTTGTGTGTGACAGAGAGATAGAGACGCACACACAGAGAGGAGAGGGACAGAGACAGGGGCAGCGAGGGACAGAGAGAGACAGAGAGAGAGAGAGAGACAGAGAGAGACAGAGAGAGAGACAGAGAGAGACAGAGAGACAGAGACAGAGAGAGACAGAGAGAGAGACAGAGAGAGACAGAGAGAGACAGAGAGACAGAGACAGAGAGAGACAGAGAGAGAGACAGAGAGAGACAGAGAGACAGAGACAGAGAGAGACAGAGAGAGAGACAGAGAGAGAGACAGACACAGAGAGAGAGGGGTAGTGCAACAGACGTCGCCAAGAGTAGATGAAGCTCGCCAAAGAGCGGTAATTCAGCAGAGCTCGACACGAGCAGGGAGAAGAGAGGAACAGGCAGACAGAGAGGCAGACGCTGAAAAGCAAACTGTGTCGAGAAGCAACGGTGCGAGAGAGAGGGATGGGACAATGCATGCAAAGTGTAAAAGCGGATGAACGCACACCAGTGCAGCAGCAGCGAATGCTGCGTGCTGGGTGCTCCCAAGAAAAGCAACCTTGCTCGTCTTGAACAAACGAGTTGAAGCGTAGATCAGCAGGAGAGGAAAGACAGAGCGGAAGGATAGAAAGGAGAGGTTGGGAGCAAGCCATTCACTTCACTCACAGCCAAGCATGTTCGACAAGGGTCAGAACTCACCGTCGGCCATGCTGAACCACGGTTTGCACGTGCGTGCGTACGTGCGCGGGGGGGGATGCGAGTGTGTGTGTGTGTGTGCGCGTGTGTGTGCGTGTGCGTGTGTCTCTGCTCCACAAGGGGAGGCCCGGTGTGGATGGGTGGCTTGAGTGAAGCTCACCCGAGAAGGGGAAGGAGCAAGCAGGCCCCTGCCCCGACGAAGGCGTGAGAGAGGTGGATTGAGGCTGTGGTGGGGTGTGATGGGGTGTGCGAGTGCAGTCGACACAGCGAAGTGGTGGTGTTGGTGGCGAAAATACTCCTGCGACTGGCTTGGGGAGGTGCTGAGTGGTTGGGTGATACCCTCAGCGAAAGCGCAAAGCCTTGTGGTTGCGCCATGCCTTGTGCATAGCATAAGGTGGTAGCTGTCACGAATATTCACCCTGGGTGTCGTTCGCAAATAAACAATTCCAGGCAGCTTCACCATCCGTTTGTTCATGCAAAGAGATACTTCTCCAATGCCTCCCAAAGGTTTTCGACGGTCGCATCGCGTGTATGATGTCATCGCGTTAGCAACCAACAAGCCTGACGTGACAGCAGCCAAACAGCCGCACAGAGACAGAAAGACAGAGAGAGAGAAAGAGAAGGACAGAGACGCTCTCATGGACCTGCATCGTGCAGAACACACACTGTCAGCGCTCAGGGACAGTGTTGTTGGCGCCGTCGCTGGGGGACGCGGTGATGTAACGTCCTTGCTCAGGTACCCATCGCAACTGTCGCCCCTTTGACAAAGGCTTGATGTGGGCAACGATGGTGCTCAGCATATGCATGTCCTGTGCTATGCGCCTTGTTTCTGCTTTTTGGCGCCAACCGTGTTAGTGGCACTCACACGCAGTGAGCGCACCTTACACTCGAGTGCGCCCATGCTGTCGACAAGTGATGTGGCGCTGAAGGAGAGTGTGTGTAACAACAGTCTGCTGCTTGTGTGCCCAGTGCCAGATAACCTCCATTCAACTGATATCTCTAGACTTATGCACTCACATCTCTGTGTGCGTGTGTGCGCGCGCGTGTGTGTTCATGCTGGACTTGCTGTGGTAGAGATGTTGGCGCCTTTCAAGACTTGGTTGCCACCATTGCGCAGGGCAAGCGAACATCTCCGATTTCGTGGTATCGATCCATCGACAGGCCACCCTGCCATCTCCTTGTCAAAAAGCCACTGTTCGCATCTCACACACACGCACATACATACACACTCCCACACACATATACACGCACACACGCACACACGCACACATATACAAGCATACACGCACGCACGCACGCACGCACACACGCACACACACACGCACACACGCACACATATACACGCACACATATACACGCACACATACACACACACGCACGCACACGCACACGCCCCCCCACCCCACCGAGCAGCCTCGACAGTTCATCTCGCAAACTGATAGCGACCTTGCGCGTTTGCTCTCTTAGGTCCATTCTGAATGCCGCGGACCGACTGCTGACCAGTCTCATTGCCCACTGTTCGCATGATCCCGTATCTGGAGCCAGCAAACACACAAACAAGCGACCGTCGCGCGACCGTGACCGCCTTGGTGTTGACGAAGAGGCCAAGTGAGTAGTGTATGCTGCTTTGACACTCTGCCGGTTTGTCGATCATCGCGCCTTGCCTTGAGCGATGTAACGTGCGTTTGTATGTCGACCCCTTCCAGTTGGCACGGGGTTTCGTTTCCATATGGTCGGCTTATGGGTCTGGCTGAGGTTCATTGCCTGATTTGCCTTGCGCAGGAGAACCAAAGCCATCAGCGCAACAATCGTTGAAGTCGACAGGACGCACTGCGGGTTCTCAAGCATTGTTGGCATTAAGGACGCGCTGCAGTGTCTTCAGGAGGCAGTCGTGCTTCCCGTCCAATTTCCACATCTGTTCACAGGTAGGTCGAGGCGTGTTGGATGTCATGTGAAACGCAGCGTGGCGGCGGCACGTGTCGCAAGTGATGTGGATGTGTTGTGTGTTGCGGTCTGTGCATGAAAGCTAGCTCGAACTCCAGTGTAGGCGTGCTCAGGGCTGAGGAACCATGCTCAAAGAAACATGGGGAGACACTGTCACACTTGGCTGACGTAAGCATACATGTGTATGTGTGCTGTGTGTGCGACGTTGTGTTGCGTCCCTCTGAGCAGGTGCGAGGAAGCCTTGGACAAGCATTCTCTTGTATGGCCCACCCGGAACAGGAAAGGTATGCCCTTGAAGAGCGCAGCACGTGCTCGAGTGTGTATTTGTGTGCGTGGTTGTGTGTCACTGTGCGTGTGTGCGTGTGTGCGTGTGTGTGTGTGTGTTTTCATATGGTGCACTCCTTGACAGCTCCTGTTTGCCGCTGGCAAATACATTGTGTTCGCTGTGTTTGCTGCTCCACCCCCACACCCCTGTGTGTGTGTGTGTGTGTGTGTGTGTGTGTGTGTGTGTGTGTGTGTGTGTGTGTGTGTGTGTGTGTGTGTGTGTGTGTGTCCACGTGACTCCTTCTCGATTCGATGCTTCTGTTTGCACTAACTAACGGTGTGTAGTTGAGCGTGGGTCTTGCAGAAATAGCGGCCGCAGAGGGAGCGGAAACTTGCG